CAGAGCAAGACCCCATCTCAAAAAAAAAAAAAAAAAAATGTGTTAGGAGCATGTAACATAGATAGGGTCATGGGCAATGCATGATGACGTTAACATGTACTGAAGACGTATGGGGCTCTCACATGACCTCATTTAAACCTCACAACAGCTTTCTGAAGAAAAGTTTGTACTATTATTGTACTCATTTTATGGCTGAAAGAACTAAGATTCAGAAAGGTTAAGTTGCCCCAAACTGCACAACTATGAATAGCAAGTAAGACGTGAATTCAGGGCCTTCTCTTTCCAAAGCTGGGGCTCCTTCTGTTACCCTGTGCTGCCTCTCCCAGGGGCCTGACGTAGAGCTTGGCAAACAGTGAGTATTTAATTTTAGTTCTCCTCATTCTGCATCATAACGTGACAGGCCATGGACTGAATTATTCCTTGTGGAGCAAGAAAGGCACCAGTTCTGTCCTGGTCTAAGCCGAGCCATCCGCGCCTGGCCCGCGGACACCAGAGGACTCGGGTGAGCCAAGTTAAGTTCTAATCCTCTCATCTGCTGCTGCCTCCTGGGCTGGCCACCTGGGCATCTTGCTTCTCCTGTAAGATGTGGATAATGGCAGCTACCTCACCGTGGAGGTTGTGAGATTGTGTGTGGTCATGCAGAGATAGCGAGGAGCACAGGTCTGGCGCTTAGAAAGTGCTCAACAGCCGGGCGCGGTGGCTCAAGCCTGTAATCCCAGCACTTTGGGAGGCCGAGGCGGGTGGATCACGAGGTCAAGAGATCGAGACCACCCTGGTCAACACGGTGAAACCCCGTCTCTACTAAAAAAATACAAAAAATTAGCTGGGCGTGGTGACGCGTGCCTGTAATCCCAGCTACTCGGGAGGCTGAGGCAGGAGAATTGCCTGAACCCAGGAGGCGGAGGTTGCGGTGAGCCAAGATCGCGCCATTGCACTCCAGCCTGCGTAACAAGAGCGAAACTCCGTCCCAATAAAAAAAAAAAAAAATAAATAAAAAAAAGAAAGTGCTCAACAGATGCTGGCCTCCTTGCCTACAGCGCCGACCCCCAGAGCCCCAGAGACACTTGCCAAAATGGACCATGTTGACATGAAGGCCTTGGGGCAGCATCTCAAAGCCCTCTTGCTTGAAAAGCATCACCTGGAGATGTTCAGCCTGGAAAGCATTTGGAACCCAAAGCCCTGGAAGTCTGACACAGGGTCATCCAAGCTCCTTCCAAAGCTGCCTGGGACACAAAGGCTTCCTGGAACTCACCTTCTCCCTGAGCACTGAAATGGCCTTTTCTAAGCCAGCTAGTCAAAATAGCAAAGGTCTAGAAGCAAGTCATTTGTGATTACTGGTTTAATAATTTTTTTAACTCTAAAAGTGAAAAACAAACCCAACCCCCCAAAATTGATCTCTAATGTAGACAGCTCTCTCCCAGTATAGCTTAACACGCGTTCATGAATGTTGATGCATTGTTGGGGTTTTCCCTTGAAACATAAAAATCTGGGGCAACCCCTCAAGTGGTTGAGGTCCTGTCCCCATTCTCCTTGTGGGCCCTTTGCACCACATGGCTGTTTGCAGCCACCAAAAGCCCTCTGTCCCTACTGCGTCCCCTCCCAAGCACCCAACCTAAGTGACAGAGGACTGGGGAGGAAAGGCAGGAGAATCAACCCCCCTCCCATCTTAGTGAGCCCACTCCAGGCACGTGACACATCGCAGCATCAATCGTGTATTGAAAACATAAGCGTTAACATGCATGCTTTTGCTCCAAACAACACTTCTTGCTCATCTGCAGAACACAGAACGGAGTATGTTCCATACCTTAGAGGTGCAGCCATTGCCTCTTCAGTAAGCAGAGGCTTTCATCCCAAGAACTACATTTGGGGAGCCCGGGTAGCTGCCCAACGTAGCAGATACCCGTCTCCATAGTGTCGCTGGAGTCTTCCCCAGCCCATCCTTAATATGCACTTACACATACACATTCCATTAAACCGCACTTGCTGTTTTACAAATAACAAGACTTCTTGCATTACACAGCTTAATACCCTCACTGCCAAACCCAATTATCATAGAAACTCAAGCTCACATTAAAAGCAAGAGATGGTTCACTTTATCCTTATCATGAATTAGTAAGTTTTCCCTCTGGAGATCTGTTCCCTGAAAATGTCCACTGAAGGTATTTTGGCCAAATTAACTATATTTATTTTAAGATTTTGCATGCAGTGAGTGTTCTGGGTTTTTGCTTAGAGAAGATGAGGTCATCCACCTGCCTCATTTCTTCTCTCCCTCTCTCTCTGTGTCTGGTGGGGTCCCTGGTCAGGGAAATTGTGTGTCCCATATAAATGCCTCTTGGAAATTAAGTTGGAGCTACAATAGATGGAAGAGCGCTGGACTTTTTTGAGACCCAACTCCACCACTGGCAAGAGCCCTATGACCCTGATAACTTACAATCTCTCTGAACCTTCATTTTTGTCTGCAAAATGGGGAGTCCTGCCTAGCTCATTGAATTGCTGTAGGTATCAAAACAGGGGGAAAAGGCATGGAAATGCTTCATAAGCTATCATAAAATGTAATCTCTTGCTGTTAAATGACCCTGGTTATAAAGCAGATTGCATAAGAAGGCTGCACAGGTATCAGGAGCTACCAGGCTTCTACTTGAAACCCTGAAAACAAATTCTATCTTTCAGCTTCTCTGGGTCCTGGTAGAGCCAAAGAGTTCTATTATCAAAATAAGATTAAAGAAAATAACATTACTAATAACCATTAATAACATGATTAATAACCATAATGAAAATAACATTAATATCCATAATGATAATGGTACTAACTCATATTTATTGAGTGCTTTCCGTAAGGCAGGCACTGTCCCAAGCACTTTATGTGTGTTTAACTCACTTACCCCTATTGTGCCCTGCTGGAGCTAGCCAGCGCAGGGTTAGGACAGCAATCACTAAGGATCCAGGACTTTGTGGAGCATTGTTAAACCATTCATAAGTGAAAGTCAACCACGGTGGGAGCATTTACACCGGGGAAATGTGCAGATGCTACAAATCAAGGTTATTTATTTATTTATGGAGTCAGTTTTCTAAAAATTAGATATTCTCCTTTTTTTTTTTTGAGATGGAGTCTTGCTCGGGCTGGAGAGTGCAATGGCATGATCTTGGCTCACTGCAACCTCCACTACTGGGTTCAAGCAATTCTCCTGCCTCAGCTACCCGAGTGGCAGGGACTACAGGCACCCGCCACCACGCTGGACTAATTTTTTAGTATTTTTAGTAGAGACAGAATTTCACTATGTTGACCAGGCTGGTCTCGAACTCCTGACCTTGTGATCCACCCACCTCAGCCTCCCAGAGTGCTAGCTCCTTTCCTTTTTTTTTTAAACAGTCGGGAAACTAAAGTCCAGAGAGATTAGATGAGGACAATAATACTGATTCCTGCAATGCTGGACTATTCTCTGTGAGTTGCTGATTCTTCTCTTCCTCCTCTTTCTTCCCCAAAACCTCCTGTATTAGTCCCTTTGTGTTCTATAAAGGAATACCCAAGGCTGGGTAATTATGACCAAAAGAGGCTTATCGGCTCATGGTTCTGCAGGCCGTACGAAGCGCAGCACTAGCATCTGCATCTGGTGAGGCCTCAGGCTGCTTCCTCTCATGGGGGAAGGCAAAGGAGTGTAGGCTCCACATGGCAAGAGGTGGGAAAAAGACAGAGGAGGCGGATGCCAGGTACTTCCTAACAGTCACTTCTGTTGGAAAGAAATAGAGCAAGAACCCACACATTACCAGGAGGATGGCACCAAGCCTTTCATGAGAGACCCACCCACATCACACCACCCGCTAGGCCCTACCTTCAACAATGGGGACCGAATTTCAACATGAGATTTGGAGACGACAAATAAGCAAACTGTATCATCTCCTGTTTGCTTTTTATCTTCCTCCAAGATTATTTTATTAATAATAACAAAGCCATTTCTCATATTTCCTATAGTTCAGACATTTGTGCTGGGAACCTTGGAGCCTTGAACATCCAGTTTTTAGTCTCAACAGTTAAATGGGAAGAAAAACATGTAAATGAGTGGTTCTTAATCCTGGCTGCACATCTGAAACATCCAAGAAACTTTTTAAAGACACCAACAGCCTTTGCCCCTTTCCAGCCCCTTTCCTGAGCTGATTTAATTATCACCATTTCTAAGGCCCAGAGAAAAAAGTAACTTGCTCAGAGTCACACCACAAATCATTGCTAAGGACTAGCACCCAGAATTCTACATTTTGAGTTCCAATCCCTTTCTACTACTCCCACCAATCAGTCAATCAACTTTTTATGTATTAGTGTCTTGCATACAATAAGGGCTCTGATCCACGCAGTTAATAAGTAAACTTTGGCCAGGTGTGGTGGCTCATACCTGTAATCCCGGCACTTCAGGAGGCCAAGGCAGGTGGATCACTTGAGTCCAGGAGCTCAAAACTAGCCTAGGCAACATGATAAAACCCTATCTCTACAAAAAAGACAAAAATTAGGTGGGCATGGTGGCGTGCACCTATATAGTCCCAGCTACTTGGGAGGCTAAGGTGGAAAGATCACCTGAGCTGGGAAACTGAGGCTGCAGTGGGCCGAGATCGCACCACTGTACTCCAGCCTGGGTGACAGGAGTAAGACCCTGCCTCAAAAAATAAAAAATAAAAAGATAATAAAAGGCAAAATTCATGCACTAATTAATCTTTCAAAGTTATTCATCCTTCAGGAAGAAATTCCTTCTCAGCAGGACTCGTCTGAACCTCAGAAAGGCAACACAAGTGAAAGGCCACATGGTTTGCTCAGTCGATGGAGCTTTCAGAATCACGGGCCAAAAAATCGCCTGAGGAGCAATGGAAAGGTCTGTAAAAACTAAGGCCCAGAGAGGCAATGACACGCAGCAAGCTAATGCCAGTGCCAGTGAGTGAGTCCCACCCAGGCTCTCCTCCTGCTCCACCGCACTGCCCACCTCCCACATGGCCCTAAGGCCCCACGATACATCCAGCTGCCCCCTGCACCATTTTCCCCTTTTCTCCCTCCCTCCCCTATTTCATTTGTCAAATATTTAATGAACCTATAGCGAAAATCCTGGAACTTAATTAGTGCTCAGTAAATATTTATTTTGGATGAATAAATAAATGAACGGCTGCAATTCTGGGCCCTGGGAGCTACAGAGATGAGTGAGACCCGGTCTCAGCCCTCAAGATGCTCAACGTCTAGGGTCTGTTCAGAGGTCGTGTGGGCTGGAGGAGGAAGCGCGGGCGCTGCAGGGAGTCAAGTCTCAGGAGCCTGGCTCCGATGGAAGCAGAGGAGCATCAGGAGCCTGGTTCCGATGGAAGCAGAGGAGCATCAGGAGCCTGGCTCCGCATGGAAGTGGACAAAGGGCTTACCAAGTTCGAGCCCAGCTCCTCATCACAAAATGAAGATACACCATGACTGCATCATGAGATTGTGGCGGGGTGTTGCAGGAATTCGCTCAGGATAGTGGCAGAAATATTAAGAGATAGTTATAACTTACAGTAAGAAACCTCCTTAGAAGGCTGAGAGGTTTGCATTAGTTTCAGTAGAAGTTTCGAAGCTCCTCTAAATAAAAGCATCCAATTAAGGCACAATCATTGCTGGGTGTTTTGTGTGTGTGTAGATTTATTTCAGCTGCTGCGGTGGTTAGACGGGGGTCTTGCTAGTGGATTGCCTTCACTTACTATACACACACTACATTTTATTACTGTACTGTACCCATTTTTTAAACTGCCACTGTTACAACACTAACTATAATGTGTAAACATGTATTTGTGTGTGTGTGCGTGTGTGTGTTTATAGTCTTAGATTGTAAGCTTCTCAAGAGCAGAGATCCTGTTTGCTTTGTTTATCAAGGACCCTCCAAGCACAGAGCGCGATGCTTCAGAACAGGCAGGAAATGGGCATTGAGTGAAGAATGGGTAATCAGTCTAGGCTGGCATTTGCTCAGAGCTGGGTAAAGCAGGGTCCCAGTCTGCACAGGAGTTCCAGGCTGGGTTCTAGCTGAGCAGGCCACGTTCCAGCTCTGGCCTCCGAACTGAGTGTTCAACCCGGGGACTGCGTGTGCTGAGCTACCATTTTGTTTATTTTTACCTGAGTCAAAAGAAAGAAAGAGGTCCCAGAGTTTCTAATGTCGTTTGTTGAGTAGACTTAACTTGGTAGGGAACAAACCAGAAACAGCTTCATTTTTCTCCCAGTGCTGCCTTCAGACATGCTTTTTTGGATACACACACACACACACACACACACACACACACACACACACATATATATATATATATACATATATATATATTATTTATTTATTTATTTTTGAGACAAAGTCTTGCTCTGTTGCCAGGCTGGAGTGCAGTGGCATGATCTCGGCTCACTGTAACATCTGCCTCCTGGGTTCAAGTGATTCTCCTGTCTCAGCCTCCCAAATAGCTGGGATTACAAGCACCCACCACAATGCCCAGCTAATTTTTGTATTTTTAGTAGGGACGGGGTTTCACCATGTTGGTCCAGCTGGTCTTGAACTCATGACCTCAGGTGATCCACCCACCTCCGCCCTCCAAAGTGCTGGGATTACAGGCGTGAACCACTGTACCCAGCCTTTTTTGGGTATCTTTTTCCCCTCCTTGGTGACATCTTAGAAAATACCTCAGCTTTCTGGTCACTCCTAGCTATATGAAATGGTCTCCGGTTCAGGAATTAAACAGCTCAGGCCAGTCTAAATCAAAACAGAACTCCCATCCAGTTGAGTGCTCTTTCTCTCCCGAACCTCACACCTTCCCGTGGCTTGAGGACCTGTGATCCGGGAATGGGAGAGAGGGCTGGTCTTCACTCTTCCTCTGCTTGCTCTTCGTGTCTGGGGGATACTGCGGGTTGGGGACAGAGGGGAAAGGGGCAAAGACTCGCATGATTGGTTGTGCTATTTTAATCTGGCTACTGCTGCCTTCTGCTGAGGTGGACATCCTCCAAGTCCGCTCCATTTCATAGGACATGACTGTGTGTTACTTGGTGATGTCCCGCCACCTCCTCCTCTCCCGGGGGAGACCCACACGCGGCACTCACTGTCCCTATTACTAGCAGTGTGCTGTCTTGTAAAGCTCCCTCCTTAGCTCCTGTACGCCTCTGTTTTTTTTTTTTTTTTTCCACTGGAATCTCATCAGCTCTATAGGCTACCTCTTGGGAGATGTCCCTCCAGAGGGCTCACACCTGACAGTCCTCTGGACCATCCACTTGGTCCATGGGGACTCAGGCATCCTTGCTTGGCCAGTCCATGCCAATGCAGGTCGCTCCTACTTCTTCTATCCTGCTGGCCTGAGTCCCAGGGGGCCCTAGCAAGCCTCCCACCGTCACAGTCTCTGGGAGCTGGAAGACTCCAGTTGTCATGTAATCTACTCTTTGATACTTTGGGACGCTTGTCAGCCTCTCTTGAGACACTTCTCTCCCCACCCCACTGAGACAAGATGATCTCAGGCAGCTCAGCAAGCCTCAGGCTGGGAGCAGATCTGTCGCTCCCTTTCTTGCACCAACTCCCTCACTTTGAGTCCCCTCACTTGGCTTGGAGTAGGTAAGTACCTTCCATTTCCTTTCCCACAGTTTGCAGAGGAGAAAGCAAAAGACTTCTCTGCTTCTATGAATTCCCCGACTTTAATGATCTCAGAAATTCCTAGGCTTGACTTATCGAGGCTGGGGTTAGGAAAACTCTGGATGAGTCTTGCTGTCATAATAAGTCCCACCTGAACATGCTTACCACCCTGTTAACAAAAATGTGGGAGCCTTTATTCTGCTTTCTGTTTGTTGCACAACAAACTTGGTAAACAAATAGAACATGCTGGGAAAGACATGCTCAGAGGTGTTTACTGATGAAAATACTTCTCAGTCAAAATAGTTTGGAAACTAATGGTCTAGAGAGCAGTTGCAGAAAGACATGTTGTAACATGAAAAAAAGCCACAATGAAAAATGTTTTTGGAAACACAAAACCTTCTTTTATAAGTCTACCAATGTTTTAATGCCACAGACAATATATGGCATGAGAGTCTTTATAATTGGAAATATAGACATAATTTTTTTAAATGAAGGGAGCAGAATGGACAGGCTCCAACATTCATTGAAAAGTTCCCAATAAATTGTCACTCTATGAAAAGAGATATGATTTCCAGATATCTCCAAGGTCAGTTTAGAAGGTGTTCGTGTCTTGCTACAGATGTCAGCGTTAACAAGATCAGGAAGACTTTGGACACCAACTTAGTTTTTAAAATGCATGTAGAGACTAAAGAGATGCTTCCTGGTGGAAATCAAAGTAGAACACATCAGTGATCAAGCCAAACTGAGACTCTCTATTCTGCAGGGACTTGCTACACCACCTTCACCCAGAGGCGATAGCCCTAAAGGCCAAAGTAGAAGTCTTGCTAAATCAGGGTACGAAAACAGGCATGACATAAAACACCTAAAAACAAGACCAGCTTTTGTTCTAGAAATGTCTGGCTACCTTGTAAAGTACTGTGAGTCAAGTCTAAGTGAAACGGCTGTGAAGGGCAGAACATCTGTCTTTGTGTCTCCACACCTCATGGAGGAGGAGCCCAGCACAGCGCCTCGTGTGTGTGCAGGCTGAATACATGAGTCCTATGCCAGGGAGGCTGGCCCTGGCTTTAACAGTGTCTTACAGGCAGGGTGTAGGGGATCAGACCATTCTAGCTCCATCTTCCTGAAAGACATTTCACTTGCTTTTGAAAATCACAAATGGTAACATCTGCAGCCCTCTTAAAACACAAATAAACCATTGGCATTTCCATAGGCAGAAGCCAAACCCCAAAGAACTTATTTTAAACCCAACTGCTCCAGCTTCAGCTTTGGCGGGACCATGAGCTGGCCTTGCTGATGGGAGTGCCAAACGACATTTTAAATCATCAAGATCATACATCTCTAACCAGGCTGATGTGTGGAATGTCTGGTGTTTATTTTTTCTATGTTTCGCATTGAGCTGAAATTTCACTGCCAAAGACGTTGGCCAAGCAGGCTTCTTTCACAGCTGTTGCTTTACAAAGCAATTCCACAAAGACAGGATGTTGTCCTAAAAAAGCATCCTCTGGTTCCCTGTTGGACAGGCCAACAGCTTGGCTGGGTATCACAAACAAACCAGTAAATTATGCTCAGTAATGCCAGCTCACTAGGGAAGCTGGAACGATGGCTTCAAAAGCAGAGCTGTAGTGAGCTGGGAAAAAAGTGGTAAATATTTCAGGAGGTTGTTGATGTCACATAAAGCCCAGGAAAACAAAGACTGGAAATAGTAAGGGCCCTAGAGTGAAGGTACCTGACGATAGCTAGGGAACAGAGGAGGCGATCACAACCAGCTTGAAGTGGTCCATCGGTCTGCTTTAGGTCTCAGAGAGACGTGGAAGCAGAATTAAGCACAGACAATAAATTGTTCCCCAGATCAGAAAAATCCCATTTGACTTCAGTTCCGCTAGCACCAGGAACACAGTAGTAGTCACGGTGATAATGGTAGCAGATATTTATAGCACGCATTCCCAGGCACTGTGCGAAGTACTTTGCATACAGTTTCTCATTTGATGTTTTTAAAACTCTGAAATGGAAAGTTTTATTACTCTCAAGTACAGATGAAGAAACTGAGACTCAGAAGTAGGAAGTAACTTACTCCAAATCCACAGCTGTGCTGTGAAAGCTGGGGTGTGAATCTTGTCTCTGTAGCCTGAAAGCATGTCTGAAAACCATTTTTGTCAATTGCAAATGCAAAACAGTGACACTGCAGTGCTGCAGGGAGAAGAGTGGCCTTTTCTGGTTAAGGGCTCTGGGTTGACTTGCTAATCACAGAAAAATAATGTATCTTAACCCCTATCTCACAGCACACGCAAAAAACAATCCCAATTGAGTCACAGATCAAAAACATTTTTAGAACAAAACATAAGAAAATAGGTGAATATCTTGGAGTAGATAATGATTCCTTACTCAGGACAAGAAAGTCCCTAACAATAATATTGATAAATTGG